AGGGTTTAGGGTCCTCGTAAGCCATCCTTCTCGGCTACTTTTCACGTAGGATAGGGGAGTGGGGTCAGGAGATCATGTCATCACTTGTCTGATCTTGCGAAGCTGCCCTCGAGGCATTCTGCGCTTGTCTTGAGCATCAAGCCGCAGCAGCGCCTACATTCCGTGCGTGAGAGAGTGGCGAAGCAACTCTTGCAACCACATGGGCCCCTAAACCCTAAACCCTAAACCCTAAGGCGCTGCATTCTTTCCGGACAGAAAATCTGCCGCATGGGATCGTCGCCCACAGGCCTCCTTTCATCGGCTCTTGAGCATCTTAGGAGTCTTTTGAGCATCTAAATCCCAACCCTAAGCCCCCTAAACCCCAAAACCCTGAACTTCAACCCCAGAGAGAGAGGGGTAAACCTCACGATGTATGCTGTACAGATACCTCCAAAGCTTTATAAAACGTATTCTAGACATGCGCGACATGGATGCTGCCGCCTCTAAGTCTTCTTCTGGACTCCTGCTCAGCCGCTCGCCGTGAGTTTAAATGCCACACCTTCAGGGGTCTGACAGCTCCTGCAAGGAGTCTCGTAGTTACATGGTCCCTTAATATGGGGCCCTTCAAAGGGGGGACCCTAGACAGCCCAAAAAAACCCATACATCAGAACCTTTTCAAAGAGGGTAAGGGGCCCATATTAAGGGACCATGAAACTACCCTAAGATGCAAGGAGTCTCGCCCCCATGTCCTCAGCTATCCTGGCAACATCAGCTCATGGCTGGGTACCAGGGGCTCGATGGTACAGCAGAATAGTTTTGGGTGTTGCTCTAAAACGAGGGTCCTCTGTGAGAATCCTTTTGGGGCATCCTTCTTGGGGGAGCTACCCCAAGATGCCGATAGGAGGGCCCTGTTTTAAAGCAGTCCCAGTTGTGTACTCCCACCCCCGTCGCTGTTCCGGAAAAGTAGGGGGCGGTTCGGCTAAACAAATAACCCTAAACCCTAAACCCTAAACCCTAAACCCTCAACCCTAACCCTAAACCCTAAACCCTAAACCCTAAACCCTAAACCCTAAACCCTAACCCTAAACAAATCGGCACTCGGATGCCGAACGGCTTGCTCTGCGCAAACCCGCGTAGATACAGAGCTACTGGAGCTGTTCCCCGCAGGAAGCGTTCAGCTCCAATTCGACCGCCCAGCACCTCATTAGGGTTTAGGGTTTAGGGTTTAGGGTTTAGGGTTTAGGGTTTAGGGTTTAGGGTTTAGGGTTTAGGGTTTAGGGTTTAGGGTTTAGGGTTTAGGGATTCGGCATAGCAGGCAGAACGGCACCAACATGCAGCGATGCGGGACGAGGGGATCACCGAGATGCCAACTGGGCTTTTCTCGCTCCTGGCTTCTATGCCTTCTTGTGGAAGGCTTCCATTTCCTGCGTCGGGTGGATCTGCTGGGTTTTAGAAGTGCTGGGTTTTAGAAGCGGACATGGGCCTACCCTAAACCCTAAACCCTAAACCCTAAACCCTAAACCCTAAACCCTAAACCCTCTCTTGCATGTGCTCCTTTGCAAGTTGCGACAAGGTGGTCAGCACGATGTCATCCGCAGGGGCAAAAGCCTGCAACGGTTTTTGCTCCCCAGCTCTAAGCAACTGCATGCATCACGCATACAAGCTGTGCTAAACCCTAAACCCTAAACCCTAAACCCCAAACCCCAAACCCTAAACCCTCAACCGCACCTTTCTAGGAAGCCCATGTTGAGCAAGGAATGTTGATTTGAAAGGCACCTAGAAGATGGCTGGTTTGGAGCAACACCCACACGATCACGCACTCCGATCCCGCCTTCAGTGCTTTCACCGCCTGCCACGGAGGGGAATGGGCGTTTAGGGTTTAGGGTTTAGGGTTTAGGGTTTAGGGTTTAGGGTTTAGGGTTTAGAGTTTAGGGTAGCCCTATTTTTGGAAATACCATATCATCCCTTAAAGGGTGTATATAGGTCCCTAAAACCCTTCGTTCCCTGCTAAGAATCAGGGTGGAAAGGGCACGGCAGCAAATTAGAGATTGCCAGGCGGCGCTCCAAGGAGGCCTAAACCCTAAACCCTAAACCCTAAACCCTAAACCCTAAACCCCTAAGCGCTAGGCCCTAAACCCGGCGTTGAGTACTTTTTCTGTTTTCGACGACCGACAACTGGTACTGCATCTCTTCGGTGCATGTCGGGAAACTGACAGCCCCAGGTGGCTGAGGGTTTAGGAGTTTAGGGTTTAGGGTTTAGGGCTTGGGGTTTTGAGTTTAGGGTTTAGGGTTTTCAGAATGTAGGGGAGTCTCCCAAAGCCAACAGCAAGTGCGTCTACAGTGTTTTTGGTTTCCCCTGAACTGCTCACTACTCTCGGCAAGACTAAGGCTGCAATCGGGGTGCCTTCTTGAGAGTTTGCACGAACTCGTCAATCAGCTTCCATGCACGTGTGGCATTGATGCCGTTGTCCTGTGTACAGTCACACTGCATTGGAGCACTTTGGCAACCAGCAGCATGATCTCCTCCCAAAGATACTTCCGCTGCCCGTGGATCATGTAGTCCAGGATCCAGCTATTCGTAGCCTCGCCGTTTACAGCAAGTCACGCATGACATTTCTGCCACTGGCAATCAGGATGATCTGACAACAAAGCCTTATAACTTGGGATGTTCCCCCTTACACTAAGCAGCCCTTAACAGGGATTATAGTACTCCCTAGTTTAATCCCTAGTAAGGACTGTTAGTATAAGGGGGAACATCCCAACCTTGAACATCCCAACCTTAAACATCCCAAACCTCCGTGCCTCAAGCTCCCGATTGGCGTCCGCACCGGTGGGCGGGCAGGCCACCGTCGGGATGGCATTCAAATCCAAGTGCAGGACATTCCTTCCACTCGTTCAGGGTTCAGGGTTTAGGGTTTAAGATTTAGGGTTTAGGGTTTAGGTTTTAGGGTTTAGGGGGACATTCTTTATCCAAAGAAGACTTGTCCACACGGAGGGCCTGCAATTCTTGGACAAGTCCGAGGGTGTCAGGAAGAAGTCACCGGCACCGGACAGGGCTGAGAAGGGTGAACGCGCTTTGTACCTGAGAAGGCAAAGCGAGGCCATGACGCGTTTAGGGTTTAGGGTTTAGGTTTAGGGTGTAGGGTTTAGGGTTTAGGGTTTAGGGTTTAGGGTTTAGGGGTTGGGGGTTAGGCGTTAGGGGTTAGGGGTTAGGGTGCAAGATCTCTACCCACTGAACCCGAAGCCGCATGTTGAGAATCCAGCTTCACGACCTGCTTGAAAAGGGCATTTCCCAGGCCGCTCTTCTTGTCCTAAGTATGGCGCTGCCCTCTCTTTCACAATTCGAGAGAAGAGAACCCTAACAACGGCCGACTGACGTTGAGGATGGCGCAAAGGGTTCCCCCCGCTCATCCAGGCCCACGGGGAAAGACCTGTCCCGTGGGTTAGAATGCCATGCCAATTTCGCGATATTGCACCTGTTCATTTGTTGCTTTATCTTTTCTTATGTTGTATTCTTATATCAAATGGTCATTATATTCTATTGTACCCATCTATAAGGTTTGAGATATAACATATAATAAGCAAACGTCGTTTATAAGATGGGGGCATGCCACATGTAAAGCGTAACATACCAAACAGTATACAACACCATATAACATACTCTGAAATATCGTAGCATGCAAAAAATCTGCAAGAATACATAAATATGAATGTAGTACATACTAACATAGAATAAGAACATTCTGCGTATAATCCTTTTGAAATAAAACTAGGTGATAAACGATCACGGTATACAATAAAACCATTCAATATATCAACATAATCCATGTTTTAATGAAGGCAAAAAAGAAGATGCATATAGTCTAGTAGCATATTTGGGTTTCCGAAATTCGGGGTACCTTATTAAGGTCCTTATTCTAGGGGAATCCTACTATTTGGGGGGGTCGATTATCGGGGCCCTTAGTTTCGAAAACTCCCATATGGGCATCGTAACCTTTTCATGCACCAAATAGAAGAGAATCCCCTTCAAGGTACCCCCAAAAAAGGTACCCTTATTTTCGTGGACTCCCATATACAACCCCTATATATACCTTATCCAGTCCCTATGTACCTAAATCATCCCTAAATAACCCGGAGGTCCCTTATGAGGGTCCCTCCTTTATGGTAGATGCTGACGAGCAGTAGCTCTCTGGCCTGCCACTTGCTGGAAGTGTCAAGTCGATCTCACCGTGCTTCCTGGAAGTTTGGGCTTTAGGGTTTAGGGTTTAGGGTTCAGGGTTTGGGGCTTCAAGGGTTTATAAGGTTCATAAGGTTTAGGGTTTAGGGCTGAGGGTCCAGGGCTTTGGGTGCATGAGGTCCTTATGATAAGGCTGCCCGTCTTATTTAGGGTACCCAAAAAGGGCCCTAATTTTGAGAACTGACCATCTGAAGTAGGGCCTACATTTCTTGTAGCCCCCAAACGGACACCCGGTATATACACTCACCAATATTAAAAGGAACCTTATATACACTCACCAGGAACAGTCATATAAACCCTACTTCATCTGATTTACCACAGCTTCGGAATGAGATGTCATGGGCTCCTGGTCATGGCCACTGTCCAGGCGAACTCCTGGAAGACCTCAAAGAGCTGGCTGTTGTATCTCTGAATCTCCTGCAGTTTAGGGTTTAGGGCTTAGGGTTTAGGGTTTAGGGTTTACGGTTTGGGGTTTCAGGAGGAATCCAACAGGAACCTAACTCATGGAACCTGCTTGCCGTGCCCTCGAATGCAAGTGCTAAACTCACGTGGGGCTTACACAATAAGGAGCCCCTAACATACAACCCCAAATAGAGGGATTCCCTCAAAATAAGGACCCCAATAAGGTACCCCTAATTTCGGAAATCCCCATGTCCTTCTTTATCCTCGATGGCAATGGAGGCAGCCGCGGACATCCCTGTTGACGACTGTTCTCGACACATCGTCACATACATGCACCACTTGGAGGTTCATGGGCACTTAGAACCCAAGTACCAGTCTACTTCTGACCTACTTGGAGGACTTAGGGGGCTTCTAGGTAAGTATAAAAAGGATATTTGTACCCACAGCCCTAAACCCTAAACCCTAAACCCTAAATCTGAGGATGTAAGTACCCTGAACCGCCAAGTCAGGAGTCGCAGCTCGACCCTTTGCTCTGTCGCTGGCCTCCGAGGGCAAATGCTTCTTTCGCGGAAGCCGCTCCTTCGGAATGGTTGTCGGCAGCCTCTCGATGTCTTCTTTTTTCCATCTCAGTCTTCTGAGTGTTCTGGTGCGAGTTTCGGGTTTAGGGTTTAGGGTTTAGGGTTCGGGTTTAGGGTTTAGGTTGTAGGGTTTAGAGTTTAGGGTTATGGGTTTGATCAGCATCAGGGTCCTCTTACAAGGAAATCCCTTGAAAGAGGGCCTCCCCCCCCTAACGGGACAATATCAACTCACGTGGGAGCAGCAGAAGCTGGGTGGAAGGCCTTCGTCGAAAGAAGATCCAGCCCAACCTGCTTGTCTCCAGTCACATGGCTCAAAACCATACACCAAACAACCGCACCCCTCAACCCACACCACTGAACTCTAAACCCTAAAACCCAAATCCTAAACCCCAAACCCTAAACCCTAAACCTTACACCCTAGACCCCAAACCCTAAACCCAACCCTAAACCCTAAACCCTTAACCCTTAATCCTAAACTTGAACAGATACTCAAGGTCCCTGAGGCCCGCGCACAGATACCAGCTTCACAGACAGATGTGTCCGCCGGTCACCCTTCATCATTTTCGGAGCCTGACTGGAAGTTGATACATAACACCCTAAACCCTAAACCCTAAACCCTAAACCCTAAACACTCTGGAATGTAAGAGTTTAGGGTCTAGGGCCTACTTCTACTGAGATAGGTTACCTTGAGGATGACGATAGAAACTGTCAGGGTCTTGAGTTACAGGCGCGTATGTGTGCGTGAGTGATCTCTTTGCCTCCTCAGTCAGGTACTCGTGCAGGACTCCGCTGCACAGAAGCCTTCACAACAGCGCAAACCCTAAACCCTAAACCCTAAACCCTCAACCCTAAACCCTAAATCCTAAACTCGCACGTAGAAAGCGTGCAGCAGGCTGAAACAGAGCAGCAAGCTTAGCCCAAGTTCCCACACACTCTCTCCAAATGCATATACCCCCAAAACACGACAATCCTTGTTCTGGTTACCTAGAGCAAAACCTAATCCCCAATTACCCTAAACCCTAAAGCTTGAACCCTAAACCCCAATTCCCCTAAATCCAAAACCCAAAACCCTAAACCCTAAACCCCAAACCCTAAACCCTAAATTGCTTCGAAACAAGCAATCGTGAATCCGGTCTGTGAGTCTGTCGGGCGTTCCTGCAGAGGACCAGGTTGGCCGGCTCGGCCTGCGTCAAGGTGTAGGATTTAGGGTTTAGGGTTTAGGGTTCAGGGTTTAGGGTTTAGGGTTTAGGGTTTAGGGTTCGTCACACTCAACTGGCCTCGAAGAGGTGCGTGCAGAGATTTGCCAAATTCCTGGCTTTGGCGCGCTGAGCCCGGGCGTCAGGAGGAGCTTATGGGGTATGACGGTTAGGGTTTAGGGGTTAGGGTGGGTTCAGGGTTTAGGGTTTAGGGTTTAGGGTTTAGGGTTTAGGGTTTAGGGTTTAGGGTTTAGGGTTTGGGGTTTAGGGTTTAGGGTTTAGGGTTTAGGGTTTAGGGTTTAGGGTTTAGGGTTTAGGGTTTAGGGTTTAGGGTTTAGGGTTTAGGGTTTAGGGTTTAGGGTTTAGGGTTTAGGGTTTAGGGTTTAGGGTTTAGGGTTTAGGGTTTAGGGTTTAGGGTTTAGGGTTTAGGGTTTAGGGAGGGTTTAGGGTTTAGGGTCCAGGGTCTGGGGTCTAGGGTCTAGGGTCTAGGGTTTAGTGCCCTACACATGGCAGGCCTCGTCGTGCCGTCCCTTGCGATGTGCCCTTCCTGTGCGTCGGGCCGCGCTGATGCCAAACCCTCAGAACCCCAATCACCCTCATAACCCTAGTCACCCTCTAGGAGGGTTTAAGGTTTAGGGTTTAGGGTTTAGGGTTTAGGGTTTAGGGTTTAGGGTTTAGGGTTTAGGGTTTAGGGTTTAGGGTTTAGGGTTTAGGGTTCCCCACCCTAACCCAGTAACAACCCTCCTCACCCGAATGACCGCAATAACCCCAACAGGTTGTTCGAGCTCCAAAAGCTGAGGCGTCAACTCTGTACAGAAGCTCGAGGGTGAATCGCGTGTGGAAGGCCACCTGTGCTCCAGAGCTTGAAAACCCTTAGGGATTCCTGTACCCCCTCTTAGAATCCCTATTAAGGACTGTTACTCCCAAACCCTGAGACCTAAACCCTGAAACCATTATAGGGTTCTTAAGGGACGGGCGGCCGGGGGGGGGGGGGCCTAAACCCTAAACCCTAAACCCTAAACCCTAAAGCCTAAACCCTAAAGCCTAAATCCTAAACCCTAAACCCTAAACCCTAAAAACCCTAAAACCCCTAAGCCCTAAACCCTAGATACCTAGGGAACCTTAGGGAGCCTTAGGGAGTAGTCGGGGGTATTGAGGAACCTTGGGTTCCAGAGCCCCCTTGAAACCCCCCCTCCCTTAAGAACCCTAAGAACCCCAAACCCTAAACCCTGAACCCTAAACCCTAAACCCTGAACCCGAAACCCTAAACCCTGAACCCTGAACCCTAAACCCTAAACCCTAAACCCTAAACCCTAAACCCTGAACCCACTTTCACCGAGTTGCTTGGGTCTTCAGCTCTGCTGTCTTGCTCTGGAAGAAGGGCATCTCAAACCTGTAGCTCAGGAGTTTCCCTAGACCCGAAACCCTAAACCCTAAACCCGAAATCCGAAACCCTAAACCCTAAACCCGAAACCCTAAACCCTAAACCCTAAACCCTAAACCCTAAACCGTGATGCCAGTGGAGGCTGAGGCGAATGCACAGGTGCCAGGCACTGCGTGATGTCTTCAAGACTTCTGCCCAAAGAGCCTTCCTGGCAGAGCGTAGGAAGCAGGACTTTTGTTACTTTCATCCCCAAGAAACACCCAACAAACATACAATCACACAGTCTCATAAGGAACCCAATTTTCACTTCCCATATCCTTTCCATGTGTACGTACCGCTCCCCCGATTCCATGGAACAAAAGCTGCACACCGCGCAGCACCTCCTTCAGCTCCAGCATCCTCTCATACTCGTGCAGCGCCTCGTCACCAACAAGCTCTGCGCACGGGCTGAGAAGCGCTCTACTTCAACAGTTGCATCGCGATGCTGCTTTAGGTTCTTTGCAGCTGGGTGCGGTACCCTCAACAGAATGGTTGGCGAGAGCGTGAACTCACCAGCCTGAATGCACAGCTGGCACAACTTCGCGATCATCCTGTGCTGACTCTTTCGGGCACCTCCCAAAAAAAGGGTACCCCGTTGAATGCCCCTCAAATACGGCAATCCTTAAAGGATCTCCCAGAAACGGTAACCCTAAACCCTAAACCCTAAACCCCAAACCCTAAACCCTAAACCCTAAACCCTAAACCCTCGAGAAAAGGGGCACCCCCAAACCCCAAGCCTCGATTTTGGGGAACCCCCTCATGTGGGGACAAGCTCCGGAAACCATAGGGGTTTAGGTTTTAGGGTTCAGGGTTCAGGGTTTAGGGTTTAGGGCTTAGGCCTTAGGGTTTAGGGTTCAGGGTTTAGGGTTTAGGTTTTAGGGTTCAGGGTTCAGGGTTTAGGGTTTAGGGCTTAGGCCTTAGGGTTTTTAGGCTCCGGCCAAGCTCGACAGATCCGAGGTGATGAGTCGCTGGATCTCGGCGGCAGGGGCCGAATAGGTTGCGGGTTTCGAGTTTCGGGTTTCGGACTGAGGGTTTAGGGTTTAGGGTTTAGGGTTTAGAGTTTAGGGTTTAGGGTTTAGGGTTTAGGGTTTAGGGTTTAGGGTTTAGGGTTTAGGGTTTAGGGTTAACCTGACATCGTGGCAAGATGCACCCCTAACCCTAAACCCTAAACCCTAAGCCCTAAACCCTAAACCCTAAACCCTAAGGAGCTATCATCAACACTGCTTCCGAACTCCTCCAGGGGGACCCGACATCCCCTGAGATCGAAGCCAGAACTTGGAGCATGGACTTTAGCGGCTCTTGGCTCTTGGCTCCCCTACGCCCGAAACCCTAAACCCTAAACCCTAAACCCTAAACCCTAAACCCTAAACCCTAAACCCTAAACCCTCGAAGCCCTAGGTCAACTGGCCTTTGTAAACGGCTTGTCCAGGAAGATCACCTGGCCAAGCAGGTCGAAGCCTCGCCTGGGCAGGAGCTGGGGCTTTCGGGATTTTGGGGCCTTTAGGGGCTCAGGGCTTGGAGCCCTAAACCCTAAACCCTAAACCCTAAACCCTAAACCCTAAACCCTAAACCCTAAACCCTAAACCCTAAACCCTAAACCCTAAACTGGGTTGAGGGGTTTAAGCGTAGAGCTTCGAGCTTCGGATTCAAGGGCAAACATCTTTTCAGCTGTGTCCGGCCTCCCGGCACGGCCGCTCATCTGCCTGAACATCAGGCCGGTGAGCTCCTTCAAGGACATTTCTGGATCTGGACACTCAGCTGGATGCAGGACGTCTGCGCTTTCAAACATACAGAAAGCCAAAGAATGCGTATCGTTACATACCCAAGATCTCATGTCACCCCGATGGTGTTTTCAACGCGTTGATCGTTGGCGAGTCACAAAGGTTGTTTAGGCGCAACCGTCGCAACCCAGTTGCGTTGGAGAAGCACTTGCAATACTTCCTTTACAAACTCCAACTTCGCGGCTACAATCGACAAAATGCTACGAGGCTCATTCGCAGAACAATATCCAAACTGCAGAGGCGAGACCGCAGAAGGCAGTGAAGTCCAAGAGTTTTTTCTTCAAACAAATCTTCACATCGACGCTTGACCGACGTTATGTCAAGCGAGCCTTGTGCAAACACTGGCATATTGTACAAACATGCTTACATCGAACTGTCACGCCAGTACTTTCTTTCCGAGTTCAAAAGAACTCTTTCAGGAGGAACGTTGCTTCCAATTGGCTAAACGCATCACCCAGCATGGTGTAGAGGAGGGAGGGAGCTGGGTTTTTTTAGATGCACTAAAACACCCGTCGCAGCAGTCATGTCTTGCGTGACACGTTGCTTTGATGCTATCTTGCTTCAGGCATGTTGTCACATGTGCAGATTTCTGCTTCAAGAGAAGCCCGAAGAGCCACCAGTTGGCGAAACGCATAGCGTGAAACCTCTTGGAGAGAAAAGAGTGCTGCCTTGCCGCGGCTAGAGTTGGTGCCTGTCTCACGTGTGCATTTTGCAAGTCCGCGCACGGAGTTGGCCGCATCCCAAACCAGAAACATGGATCACGCTTGCATGGTGCATGTGATTTCTGCCTGTGCCTCTCTCAGCCTCTCTCAGCCTGGACTTCATGCTGTAGAGCTGTATATATTTGAAGATGATTCGGAAGAAGCCGATGCACCACAGCAGAGAGCAAGCCCGCCCCTGTTTTCAAACGAGCGCGATGCTCCGCGCCTAGCTCACTTCTATGAGGGGTCGGGGTTTAGGGTTTAGGGTTTAGGGTTTAGGATTTAGGGTTTAGGGTTTAAGATTTAGGGTTTAGGGTTAGGGTTTAGGGTTTAGGGTTTAGGGTTTAGGGTTTAGGGTTTAGGGTTTAGGTTTTAGAGGTTTAGGGTTTAGGGTTTAGGGTTTAGGGTTTAGGGTCTAGGGTTTAGGGTCTAGGGTCTAGGGTTTAGGGTTTAGGGTTTAGGGTTTAGGGTTTAGGGTTAGCTCACTTCTATGAGGGCTCGTCCAGCAATCTTGCCCTCATTCAGCAGGCCATATGCCTCGGATGCCTGACGAATTCAGAGACTTGCTCCAAAGACCCAAACCTGGGATGTTCCCCCCTATACTAGCAGCCCTTAACAAATTCTAACCCAGAACGGACGACTTGGTGAGCGTCTTCAAAAAGGGGGCAGATGATCTGGAGCAACTATCTTGCTGGGCTCTCCGAAGGGGTTCGGAATTAAGAGCACTATATCGTCCCTTAGTTTTCTGGGTCACATATAAGGTACCTATGTCCCTGCGAAACAAGAGTCCCATTTTTTTTTGAAAACCCCCTACGCCGGTAGGCACTACATCTGGCTGCTAACATCGTCTTGACCTTCGTTTGGGCGGTGGGTTCCAGAATATCTTGCTTTCAGCTTGGGCCGTACTCCCAAACGGCATAAGGATGCCCTTGCCCAAGGCCATCTCGCTGACAAGAGACGCCTTACATCAGGAACCCGAAACCCGAAACCCTAAACCCTAAACCCTAAACCCTAAACCCTAAACGTCGGCCCCTCTCCGCCTCATCCAAGGAGAAGCGACGAGTCACCGCAGATTTCAAGTCCACGCCGCCCTGCGCAGCAATGTCTAAGAGTTCCGGCATGTCTTTGGAGGCGCGTGCACCTGAGGCAGCTTAGGGTTTAGGGTTTAGGGTGTAGGGGGTAGGGTTTAGGGTTTCGGGGTTCCCTAGACCAGAGGCCCTAGTTGGGCCTCAGTAGAAATATAATATTACGGGGGTGCTAGAATCCCTATTAAGGACTGTTAGTATAAGGGGGGAACATCTCAAGGCAGCTCAACAGACATCTCCAGACTCTACACTGGGACATTGAGAAGTGGACCATATGAGCCGACCAAGCTGATCCGGCGTCGCACGACATGCGTGATTGGAACTTCGGCTCGCACTCGTGGGGACGCGATGCCCACATAGCAAGCGCGGCCACCATCGCGCACCGCCATGATGGCCTCTTAAGGGCAAATATATGAACAATTCGCATAATCTTACTCATACTAATATGTTTAATAATATTACGAATATGAACAGTAATAATACTACTGAGGCTCACAGATTGGGATCGTGTCGCCGGGTTGTGGGCCAGGTTTAATCTGAGTCTTGGCCTGTGCAACTTGCAACACGCAAAGCCACATGCGAGGCCTGCTCGAAGGTCGCTTTGGATCCAATTACTTCAATGCACACGTCGGCCTTCGTCGTCCAGTATTTTTGGGGGAACTAAAGGTTCACCTTCGGGATTACATGGGGATTATAAGACACCAAAAAGGCTAAAGGTTGCATACTCTACTACTAAGCGGCTCTGTGTCCATCCGTGAGCTCAGCAATTCGCTCAATGACATCCTCCTCCCGCGCAGGGGGCATCTGATGAGCAAGCTGGTACCCCGCAGGCAGGCCACAGCTCACTCCCCTGAACCCTAAACCCTAAACCCTAAACACCTCACTTAATGAAGCAACGCCGGGGGTCCTTCCGCGCGTTGATGCAATGATCCGCGCCCAGGTTTCTCGCCAAGCTCAGCGCTTCATCGCTTATGTCAACCTTGGCACACGAGGCCAAAGGCTGTGCAAATGTCCCGGAGTGATTGCTAATGGTACAGTGGGCGTGCCAAAGTGGGCCGCTTTGTGTTTTCTGCCACTTGCCCCGCTTGCCACACTTGCTCTGGTTCTTGGCTAAGTGATTTCTGCCACTTGCCCCGCTTGCCCCACTTGCCCCCACTTGGGTGGCAAGTGGGGCAAGTGGGGCAAGTGGGGCAAGTGGGACAAGTGGGACAAGTGGGACAAGTGGGACAAGTGGCCCCCACCCCTCCCATCAACCCCCGCAACCCTTGCTCCCCCGACACACCCCCCCCCAACCCCCTCAACTCGGACCATGTTCGCGGCGAACGCACAAGTCTGCCTCAAATCGGGCTGTATTTGGACTTGTATTCCTGTAAGATGAACTTGTGGGCCAACCAGCAGCACGCCTCAAATCAGCTTGAATAGGGACCCATGGTGCAGCTCTGGCTCCAGCCACAAGTCTGCCTCAACCCCCACTTCCCCACTTGCCCTGCTTGCCCCGCTTGCCCCACTTGCCCCCACTTGCCCCACTTGCCCCGCTTCTGCCACGTCCTCCCACTTCCCAGCCCCAGCCCCAACCCCAAGTAAGGCAAGTGGGGCAAGTGGGGCAAGTGGGGCAAGTGGGGCAAGTGGGGCAAGTGGGGCAAGTGGGGCAAGTGGGGCCAGTGGGGCAAGTGGGGCAAGTGGGGCAAGTGGGGCAAGTGGGGCAAGTGGGGCAAGTGGGGCAAGTGGGGCAAGGGAATTAGCTCTACCGGGCCTCCAAATGGGGCAAGTGGGGCCAGGGGGGCAACGTCGATTTGCCGCCTTAAACTTCTCTTTGTCAGCCGGTGAAAGCTTTCGTTCTGAGACTTCTGTAGCTTGCTTCCGCATCGCGCTCACAAAATACGCGGTTAAGTCTTTGGTTGCTTTCTCCTATTGGTGACCGTTTTGAGGGAGGTCGATGGCAATCTCCACTGCTGCTTGTTCATCCGTCCAAAAACCACATTCTAGCTCTTCCGGAAATGCAAGCGGGGCAAGTGGGGCAAGTGGGGCAATGACAAGTAGTGGTGGCCGTTGGCGCCCCCAATGTAATGTTTTGCGGTCCTTTTAGAATTATACTGGAATAACCCGCAAAACCCTATTCTAAGTATTAAGGCCCCTATATTACTCACACCCGACCTGCTTCTGGTTTCGCAGAAGCCGAAATCACTGGGCAAGCTTGCTCGTCCAGCCGTCCAGCAACATGAAGCTGCAAATGGCCAAATCCAAGACAGAGCAGCACAGGGCAGAATATGGGAAACAAGGGTGCTTTGTCAATTCATGGCGCATTGCTTGCGCCTGCAAGGAAAAATAGCAGAAGTCCAAAAAGTAGCATCACGAGCACATCATGGCATGCTGCGAAACACTAAACTCGGACATGGCCAAAGACATCCAAAGACATCCAAAGACACACATTGAGGTTTCGACCGGGGGACGGCTTCGGCAGTAAGCACCCCGGGTGCGTGCGCGCCCCCGCGTGCCCGCCCGCCCGCACGAGGGTTGAGGGCGGCTTGTTAAGGCCTCATGAGGCATTGTCAATTCTCTCTTTGCCCCTTAAAATTTTGCGCCAAGCTGCCGCAATGACCGGAGAGGCTCCCAAGTGCTTTGCCAGCTGCACGATGCCCTGGCCAACTCCACCGGCACCCACGATGACCGTGGACTGGCCGCTGCGCAGGTCCGCGGCATTGCGGATGGCCCCCAGCGCGGTAAAGAATGCACAGCCGAGCAACGCCGACTCCGAAAAGGCTTTCTCTGCCAAGACAGGTGGCAGCAAGAAGGCTGCAGTCTGTGGTACCACGGCATACTCAGCCAAGCCTGCAAAAGAATACATGGCCACAGGATGGCCTTCTTGATACAAACGGGTGCTGCCATCATAGAGCTGGCCCTTCAGCCTGTTCAAGGCAAAGAAGGGCGCACAGGTGTCCTCCTCCCCTCGCTGGCAGTGGAAGCAGGAGCCACAAGGCATTATGAAGGTGCAAGCCACTTTACCTCCAAGTGGCAACCGGCTCTTGTCAACACCGGAACCATGTCCGAGTATCGTTCCGCTGATCTCATGCCCAAAGACAGCTGGAGCAGGAAAGGGAACCTCACCCTTGATACAATGAAGATCGGTGTGGCAGACCCCACAAGCACGAACCTTCACCAATACTTCTCCTTCCTTCGGAGAGGGTGTTTCTAAGCTTTCCTTGGTAGCCCAGTAACCATATTCCACCAAGGGCACCCTTTTTTGGGGTTGTTACTTTTTCAGGGAACCTTGAACCCCAAAAAAGGGAAAAGGGTACCACTGGGCTGCCAGGTTTCCAGTGCCATCTTGGCAGGGTTTGGATCGCCCCTCCAGACCACAGCACGCATCTGCGGAGGTACCTGGCTGAAGGCGCGCACTTGCCGGAAGATGCGCCCACCATATCTCTGCATCATGGCGGCTGGTGGATAGCTGCTTCCCCAAACGCTAAACCCTAAAACCTAAACCCTAAACCCTTTGTGCTTCTTGCTGTCGATATCTGCTGATATATCTGTCCTCGTCATGAGAGCGACGAGTACGTCGTGTGACAAGTGGGCGCGCGTTCCGCTGGCGTGCCCGTGGCCATGGAGATGCAGCTCTAAACGTCATGGGAGCAGAATAAGCCCAAGACTCCATGTTACATTGGGTTTAGGGTTTAAGGTTTAGGGTTTAGGGTTTGGGGTTTAGAGTTTAGGGTTTAGGGTTTAGCGTCTATTGAATAGGGTTTAGGGTTTAGGCAGCGGTCCCCTACAAGGCAAACCCGGGCAAGTCGGTGTCCAGTGAGTCTCCGCAGAAGATGGTCGACCGACACCTGCCATAGGAAGAGCACACAGCTTGAGGGAGGCTTGCACTTTGAGGGTTTAGGGTTCCCCTAAACCCTAAACCCTAAACCCTAAACCCTAAACCCTAAACCCTAAACCCTAAACCCTAAACCCTAAACCCTAAACCCTAAACCTCAACCCGATGTTAGCCCTGAGGTTTTAGGCATGTTGGGTCAAGTCGGCCCGGCGAACGGCATGTTGATGCCCAATGCCAAAGTGCCAGTGGCAAAGACCACCCGCAGGTACCTTGGCAAGGGTTTAGGGTTTAGGGTTTAGGGTTTAGGGTTTAAGGTTTAGGGTTTAGGGTTTAGGGTTTAGGGTTTAGGGTTTCGGGTTTCGGGCTTCGGGTTTAGGGTTTAGGGTTTAGGGTTTAGGGTTTAGGGTTTAGGGTTTAGGGTTGGGTAAACTGGGAAGCCAACAGTCTCGTTAGAGGCTTCGGGGCTTAGGGTTTCGAGTTAGAAGGATTAGGGTTTAGGGTTTAGGGCTTTGTTACAGGATTGGGGTTCAGGGTTTAGGGTTTAGGGTTCAGGGCTTAGGGTTTGAGGGATTCGGGTTCAGGGTTTAGGGTTTAGGGTTAGAGGGTTGGAGGGTTGGAGGGTTCGAGGGTTCGAGGGTTCGAGGGTTCGAGGGTTCGAGGGTTCGAGGGTGAGAGGGTGAGAGGGTGAGAGGGTTAGAGCGTTAGAGGGTCAGAGGTTTAGAGGGTTAGAGGGTTAGAGGGTTAGAGGGTAGAGGGGCAGAGGGTCAGAGGGTCAGAGGGTCAGAGCATCAGAGGGTCAGAGGGTCAGAGGGTCAGAGGGTCAGAGGGTCAGGGGGTTAGAGGGTTAGAGGGTTAGAGGGTCAGGAGGGTGAGAGGGTTAGAGGGTCAGAGGGTTAGAGGGTTAGAGGGTTAGAGGGTTAGAGGGTCCGAGGGTTCGAGGGTTCGAGGGTTCGAGGGTCCGAGGGTTAGAGGGTTGGAGGGTTAGAGGGATAGAGGGTAGAGGGTTTAGGGTTCGAGGGTTTAGTTCCAAAGCTCCAAACCCTGCTGCACCTGGCACTGAAGAAGCTCACCCCCAGATTTCCGAGCAAAAACAGCAGACTGTAACCCCTAATTCCGAAAACCGTACACCCTGCTTCCCAAGTAAGCCATTACCCTAAACCCTATATAAGCCCCATATAACCCCCTAAAGCCTCCATAACACTATATAAGCCAAACCCTAGCTACACCCTACCAAACCGCATGTAAAGCCCTATAACCCTGACCCTCAAAACCCTATGTAAGCCCTAAACCTGAAGCCTATAGAAACCCTATAGAAGCCCTACATAATACCCGACAGAAACCCTATCTACACCCCCCTAAACCCTAAACCCTAAACCCTAAACAACCCTAAACAACCCTAAACCCTAAACCCTAAACCCTAAACCCTAAACCCCTGGACACTGAGCGCCGCTCCCGCGGCGGAAAAGAACTTCGACGGCATCCCGGTAGGGCTTCCTTGGACTCATGGACTCCAGGTTAGGGGGTTATATGGGGCTTATATAGGGTTTAGGGTAATGGCTTACTTGGGAAGCAGGGTGTACGGTTTTCGGAATTAGGGGTTACAGTCTGCTGTTTGGGTCTGAGGGCTTAAGGGGTGGAGGTTGAGGGTGTAAGGGTTTAGGGTTTAGGGTTTGGGGTTGAGGGTTTGCGGTTTAGGCTTAGGGTTTGGGGTTTGGGGTTTGGGGCTTAGGGTTTGGGGTTTGGGGTTTGGGTTTAGGGTTTGGGGTTTGGGGTTTAGGGTTTAGGGTTTAGGGTTTAGGGTGCTCCCCCTCCTGCACTGCTCCCAAAGCAACGCAAACTCTTGGGCTCCGACTTCAGGCCCTCGTGGTGCATGCCGATTCCTCTCCTCGAGAGGCAGGGTCACGTCAATCAGAAAGTTGCAGATCTTACTTTGGAGGGTTTCCCAAATTTTAGGGTGCCGATGTTGTTTTATCCCCTTTTGTTTTCTTGCGGGGCGAGGGGGGGGGGGTCCTTATAAAGGGGATTCCACACAAACTTGCGTGCACATAAAAAGTGCGCCCCTAATTGTGGGAACTCCCCAGTGGGGGGTGCCGTCCTGAGACCCTCGATCATCCAATTCTCAGCGCGGCCCTTCTTCTTGGCCTCCTCCAAGACTTCATCGATATCCTGCTCGGAGGCAACACCAAACCCGAAACCCTAAACCCTACACCCTACACCCTACACCCTACACCCTAAACCCTAAACCCTAAACCCTAAACCCTTCGAGGCTCAGGCGCGTCTACGTGGGCCATGTCAAGCACGGCGCAGGGAACTCGACACCGACATCTGTGTCTTGCTTTGGCAAACAAGCTGAAGCTGCCCTGCAAGACTGCCTCCTTGCTGGGGTTTAGGGTTTAGGGTTTAGGGTTTAGGGTTTAGAGTTTAGGGTTTAGGGTTTAGGATTTAGGGTTTAGGGTTTGGGGTTAAACTACAACCAACAAGGGCCCTGCAACAGCTGCAAGGTCCTCCTGCCAAACGCCAAGGGCTCTCGCCGAGTGAAAGGTAAACTGCGGCCCAGAAACGCTCAAGCGCCATGCGATGAACTACCCCCTGGTTCTTAGTAGGGAATGAGGGAATTGGGGCCCTATATATATGGTTAACCCTATATACATACCTCTTTAACGGATTATATAGGGTACCTCATTCCCTCATTCCCAACTAAGAACCAGCCAGACTACAGCGAGCGTTTGACAGATGGACACAAGTCGAGCGCCTCTGGATCAATCTCTTCGGAGATATCCTTCATGCCAGAGAGACTAAGAACGAATCATGCCAGGCACATGCAGCTGGAATCCCTAAACTCTAAACCCTGAACCTTAAACAAGCATGCACCTTATGACAACCAGGAGTCCTTCGGCTCTTTGGGCTCTTGCAGCATGAGATCCTGCAGCTCAAGCTGTCAATTAGGGTTTAGGGTTTAGGGTTTAGGGTTTAGGGTTTAGGGTTTAGGGTTTAGGGTTTAGGGTTCAGCATCTCTGGTCCAAGCATTCACTAGTTGAGCAGCTTTCAAGGCCACAGGGGAATACCCACCCGCCCATTGGGTCCCACACCATTAGGAAAAATATCCAACCTCCTTCTTCTCTAGGCACGTGGTCAACAGAATGGATTTGTTAACCACATGTGTTTGTTTCAAGCGGACAAGAAAACCAAACGTGGTCAACAGAATGGATTTGTCAACCACATGTTTCTGTTTCGAGCGGACAAGAAAACCAACGTGGTCAACAGAATGGATTTGTTAACCACATGTTTCCATTCGGGAACTTATTCTTTGGAAGCCATCTTGAGTTCTTGAGTCGTTTGAGGGGCTTCAGGGGCCTCAAAAACAGGCGCGGTCATTCGGGAACTTATTCTTTGGAAGCCATCTTGAATCGACTTTTTTGCGGGGCTCCAGGGGGGGGGGGGGGGGGGGGGGGGGGGGGGGGGGGGGGAGGGGGGGGGGGGCGGGGGGGGGGGGGGGGCCGGGGCGGGGAGGTTGGTGTTCGTTGGGGGGTGGGGGGGGGGGGGGGGGGGTGGGAGGGTGGGGGGGGGGGTGGGGGTGGGGGGGCGGGGGGTGGGGGGGGGGGGGGGGTGGGGGGGGGGGGGTGGGGGGGGGGTTGGGGGGGGGGGTGGGGGGGGGGGTGGGGGGGGGGGGGGGGGAACCTTGCCCACTAAATATATGACCTTGCCCGTAAATATATGACCTTGCCCGCTAAATATAGGATATGACCTAAATATAGGACCTTGCCCGCTAAATATAGGACCTTGCCCGCTAAATATAGGACCTTGCCCGCTAAATATATGACCTTGCCCGCTAAATATATGACCTGGCCCGGGCCATATATTTAGCGGGCAAGGTCATATATTTAGCGGGCAAGGTCCTATATTTAGCGGGCAAGGTCCTATATTTAGCGGGCAAGGTCCTATATTTAGTGGGCAAGGTCGCCCTTTAGCGGGCAAGGTCATATATTTAGTGGGCAAGGTCTTTTTTTAGCCAATGGACCTTGCCCACCTTGCCCGCTAAATATATGACCTTGCCCGCTAAATATATGACCTTGCCCGCTAAATATATGACCTTGCCCGCTAAATATAGGACCTTGCCCGCTAAATATAGGACCTTGCCCGCAAAGTCATTAACATTTATATTATATATGAAAGAGTGGTTTAGGGTTTAGGGTTTAGGGTTTAGGGTTTAGGGTTTAGGGTGCGGAGCTGCAACTGGTATTGTAGAAAAGAGTTAGTGTTGAGAGTTGAAAGGGTTAATGAACCCGGAAAACATGTTTGGCTCAAGATGGCCGAGAGCCGTCAGCTTTTGTTGAAAAAGTACGTACGCTTGGAGTTGGGTTTAACGGGTTGGAGTAGTCCCGTCCCTTCTCCCTTATCTTGTCCCCTTAGGGCTGGGTGTTCTTGTTTCTGGTTCGATCTGGGAAATCTATATAGGCGACTGTTGAGGGTTGGTTTCTTTCCCTGTTCCCTTTCGGTTGCCCCCGTAGGTTATGAGCCCAAATTAGGTTCCCTGCGGTTTGTGTTTCGGCTTTAGGGTGGAAGTTTGAAGCCATGGCGACCAACTGGTTACGGACTGGTGCGGCATCATCGAGCTCCAATGTGGGCGACCAAGGTGAAGGTGGTGTCAAAAGGTCTGCAACGGGTGAAAAAGTTGTTCCCAATGTGGAAGCTCTGGTTGATGTTGGTGGTATGCGTGGCGAAGAGAAGCCGGTGGTGGAAGGACTGGAAGACCAGATGGAAGTAGTTTTGCTGCGCCTTCTGAGCAAACATGGGCATCTTCTTCGAGCTGCGGAATCTGCTGAATCAACGGGAGCGCCAACAACAAGCTCCTCTACGTCAAAGATGGTGGAGCAAGGGTGCCAGACAGAACTGGTTGGGGATGTTATCCCTGTTTCCAAGCGAGCTCGCAACAAAGTGAGTTTCGCGGCTGAAAGTGGTGATCTGTTGACAGGTGAAGCGGAAGAAACTGTGCCTGTTGCTGCGACAAAAAGCAGTATCCTCGTCGTTGGGGACGCAGAAGGAGTCGTTCCTGTTGCTATGGTGATGAGTGAAGGAGAAATCCTGGAATTGGAGGCAGCAAGAATACAGCAAGAGTCAGATGAAGACTTATACGCTGATGGTGGAGGCAAAGTGTCTCAAGCTGCTGACCTTCCAATCATCGACTGCGATGGGAAGACATGGGAACGCCATTTTCATGATGATGGGAGAGAATATCTTTACTGTTTAGACACTGGAGATACCCAATGGGTGGTGCCTAAGAAGACTGGAATGGCTGGAAACAGCGAGGGGCCAGGTGTTGGAATGGGCATTGTCCCTGTGGATGACGAGCCAGCGCTGGGTGCTACCTCGTCCTCGTCACCTACTGAGTCTTCTAGGGCACAACAGGGTAGCATGGAAAGTGTCAACAGTGGTGTAAATAGTGTAGGTGAAAAAGATTTTTCCTCTACTATCAGGGATAGCGGTCCTAGGGCTGGTGGTGACGCCCCGACCTCGGGTTCTCCTGATGAAGAGGGGATTCCTGGAAACCGAGCAGACATCGCTGGAGCTCAACATCTGGATCGGGAAGAAATGGAAGCGCTTTCTGAGGGTGTGGCAGCGGTGGAATCGGTGGGTCCAGAAGGAAAAATGCCCAATGTGGAGATCGGAATTGCGTCGGCTGCAGAAGAGCGAGTGGTGGATGTGGTGCCTGTCGTTCAGGAAGATGGCCCTGGAGATTTGGATGACGAAGGGAAAAAGTTGCGCATTACGACTGAGGAGGTCTCTTCGTTTGGTGCCGAGAATTCTGCCATTCAAAGGGAAACGGAAACTTCTGAAACTGCTGGAGACACGGTTGATCGGAAAGATGAGGCCTGGAGCGCCAATGAAGCGCGGGTCAACGCGCCAGATAGTACCTGGAGTGCAGGAAAAGCACGGGTTGAGGCGCATATGGTGTCACGTTCCACGGGCGACTGCAACAATGGGGCGCAGGTCTCCGCAGCAGCTGATGACGGAGGTTCACAGGTGGACGCACTGGTGCAACCTGAAGTTAGCAGCGAGGAACGAAATGACAAGGGCTACACCGGAGCCAATGAGGCAGCTGTGGTCAATGATGGTGGAAATTCTCCTTTGGAGGCCATGGAACCAAAGGAGCCTGCGGCGGAAGAAAGCGTGCCTGCCGCGGATGAGCAATTCAATAGCCCTGCAGTGGAAGAAAATTTGCCTGCTGCAGAAGGCATGACAAAAGACTCCAATGATGGGTCCACTCCCATGAAGGGAGAAGCGTTGCCGTCTGGAAGTTCACCGGAAGTCGACACCGAGCGAACTGTAACGGATGAGGCAAAGCCATTGGCTGGAAAAAAGGAAGATCCTGAAATCCAGGAGCACAAAAAAGATGAGCTTGTGGGACTCGTGGAGCAGGACGAGCAGTGTGACCCAAAGGTGAAGACAAAGGATGCGCCAGGAGCCGATGATACAGAGATGGTTTCTGAAGAGCATGCAAAGAAAGTGCCCCGAGCGGGAGCCTTGGAATCACCTGGGACACATTGCTATCAAGAGGGAGATGAGATCATGGGTCTAGTGCGCTGCATCAATGGGTATGGAGCCTTTTTGGACCATGGTGATGTGAATGTGTTGATTCCTGCAGAAGGGAATAATGCATATCAGTTCAAATTTGGTGATACTGTCAATGGAACAGTGAAGCGAGTGGAAGATGATGGTACCATAATCTTGGACACCTTTCTGGTTTTGGAAGAGGACGAGGAGGACTCTTCTTCGACGCTGCGTAAATGGAAACCCAGCGGCTGGAGTACGTGGTGGACAGATTCATGGTATGCTGGTCAATGGTACCAAGATTCCAACAGTCAATGGGACTGGAGACGGGAGGAAGAGCAATCCGATGAAAAGGTTGCTGATCAAGAGTTATCCTCAGAAGAAAAAGAGGAAAGGCAACTTTATGGAGAAAAGATCTATAAAGCTCTTCTTGAGGATGGAAACGAAGATAAGGCCTATGTGGGCAAAATCACTGGGATGCTGTTGGGTCGCCCAATGGAAGATCTACAGGAGTGTGTTGTAGATCAATCATTCCTGAACGCGGAAGCTCGGCGCGCCTATGGCATCTTGCAAAGTGATGGTTGGGAACCTGATGGTACGGAAAGCACAGGTTTGGGAAAGATATCCACTTTTCCCCGAAAACAGTACCACAACGCGCTCTTCGAACTGGCATGCAGAAAAAGGAGATTTACTCGACCAGTTGTGGGTGAAGCGGTGGCAATGGTGCTGAGTCAAGGGGAAGATGAGCTTTGGAACGCGCTTTGGTTGGACACCAAGCGATTTTTGCAGGAGCTTGATGGTGCAGTGCAATCCATGAGTAAAAGGGAGGGTAGGCCAATGGAAGCCTACATGGATCCTGACCAGTACAAAAAGGCTCACATGACTCCACAGACTGTGTCACCTGGATACAGCAAGCTGTGCAAGTTCTTCAATCAAGGGAGGTGTCGAAATGGAGATGGGTGTTCCTATGAACATCGTCGCTACGGTGAAGGGTGGCCTGAAGGAGAGCCAACTGAGCCAAAGAACAGCCAAAAAACTGGTGACGAGGATGGGGACATCGGTGGCCCTCCAACTGATGAAGGTACAGTGGATGAGGTGCAGCAGGAGCGGGAGGATTCGGCCTTCCGTGCCCAGTACAACTATGGCAAAGGGACATCAAAAGGTGAGCCTACGCTGGGTGAAATGAAGAAACGGCTGTGTCTGTATTACAATCAAAGTGGTTGTAAATATGGGACTGCGTGCAGGTATCTCCACGACGATGACATGGCATTGGAAGGGACTTGGGAGCCTGGCAAATCTTGGGACAATGCTTCCAGGAAGGCACTGAGGGACGCGGGGTTCCACCATTGCTGTTTCGACTACTATCTCAAAGGG